GCCTTGGCAGGTTTGGGAACGGCTGGATTGGATCTCTGAGGGTTTTTCCAACTCTGGAATTCCACTTTCCCAGTTTTTCCCCACCCCAGGACACAGGGAATTATTTTAACCCTGGATGTGCTGGTGGCTGAAGCTGCCACGGGATAAAGGATCTGACCTCACCCCAAGACAAGTGGGATTTTCCACGTTTTTCCAGGCAGATTTTGGGAACGGGATGGGTTGGGAACAGAACAAAACCTCTGGAACAAACTGATGCTTCCCTGTGTTTCCTGGAGATCTTGCCCCAGGATGCTGCAGATGAGGAATAAAAAACAAGCCACAAATGCAAAGATTCCACCTTTTCCTCAGGAAATGGAGTTTCCATGAGTTTTCAGGATGCAGCTCCACGTTCCTAAATTAATCCTCCTTGGCCCTAAACTCGGGAATTATATCCTGGCTTGGGGTGGGATCATTTCTTTTGCTGTTTTTAACTCAGTGAGCCAAGGTGGTTGTTCCTAAGCAAACCCAGGTGCTGGACTGGATTTCCAGGGTTTTTTTTTTTCCCATTTTTTTTCCCATTTTTTTCCCAATCACCCAGTGCTGATTCCAGCTGGGAATTCCATGCCCTGGAGCAGCTCAGCATTCCCTGATCCCATTTTTGATCCTGTTTTTGGCCTCCAGCTGTGCCAAGGGGTTTGGATTGGATTTTAGGGAAAATTTCCCCGTGGAAAAGGAATGAGGATGTGGAGGCTGCAGGATGGTTTTAGGGCCTGACAGGATTTATTTGGATGGGTTTTAGGTGCTGCAGGGAATTCCTGGCATCTTTTCAGGGCACTCTGCAACCTCCAGAGAGAGCTGCACTCAAGCTCTGATTTCATCTCACAGCAAATTCCAAATCCCATTGGATGGGCAGGGAATTTTAGCAGTTTCCTCATGGGAAAGGAAAGTGATGTTCCTGCATCATGTTTAAAAAACAAAAAAACAAAAAAAAACCCTCTTTGTGTCATCAGAAATTGCAGCAAATCCGAGTGTTTCCAAATTCCCACCTGGAATTTTGTTCCTTCTGTTCTTTTGTTTGGCTCCAACAAAAGAATTCCAAAGGAAATGTTTCATCCAGGAGGGAAAAGCTTGAAAAACCCAGCCTGGTGGAGAAATGATGGAGTCTCTCTTGCTGCACCAGCAGATGGAAAAATTAAAGGGGAAAAATAAAACCAACAAAAAAAACTCCTTGGGAGGTTCAGGCTGGATGAGAAGTTGTAATTTTCCCTCTGGAAAAGGACAGGTCCCCATTCCTGGCTGGACAAAGCCACATCCACCCCACTGTGATGAAAAAACTCCTCAGGGTAGGAATCCTCCAGCTAAAATCCTTTCAAGAGCAATTTCTTGGATTTTACAACCTCCCTCCTGCTCCTTTCAGCTGCTCACGGAATTCAAAATGCGTTTTTTACAATTTTCACACACTAATTGATAAAAATCAGGAGCTTTTATCCCCAAACTCCAATTTTGTCACCCCACCCAAGGCTGTGGCTTCACTCAGGTGGCACCTGACTCTTCCCAAGTCACCAGCACAGGAATTTTGGCACTTGGACAACAAAAAAGGAACATTTTCTTTCCAAAATCAGCCAGTTCAGTGATTTTCCACAGAGCTGAGCGGGCAGCAGCGTTAGGAACAACTTCCACAAGGCAGAGAAATTCCCTTTGGGAAAAGGGAAAAAATCAAAACAAATCCCTCTAACCAAATTCCCTAAGGATCCTCTGGCTGGCGAAATCACACCCTGAAAATTCCCAATAAAAACAACCAAAGCCAAGCACTCAAATCCAAAGATTCCCTCAGAATCAGTGGGGTGTCACCATCAAAAAAATATTCCAGATTTGGCAAAAAACTGAATTTATCCCCTCAAAAAAATCAACATTTCACTTTCTGCTCTCAAAGGGATTCTAAGCAAGAACAAGGAATTGGTGACTTTGGGGAAGAAAATCCCAAGGTGGGATTTTAAGGAATACTGAAGATCTGGGAATGGGGAATATTCAAGCTGGCTCTGGTGTTGCCAAAAACTGCAGGTTTAAGAGGAACACTAAAAAGAAATAAAGCAAATTATGCATAAAACAAATTTCAGAGCTACCTAACAGCCTGTGGTGCAAGGCAATGAATTGTAATTAATCACAATTCTTAGCAGAGGAGATAAAGAGTTTCTGAAATGCTCTGATAAAGAGTTTCTGAAATGCTCTGATAATGATGTCTTGGCTGGAAAATAATTTCTGTGAAACCAGATGCTTCAGTTACAACAGAACTTATATAAAAAAATTCCTTCTAGAGCAGAGCAGTGATTTCCAGATTCGACCACAGCAAAGCCCCGTGTTTCATAAAAACCAAAATGAGCTTGGAGCTGCACTAAGAAATATCCATTTCATCAAAGACTCGGGGTAAATCCATTAATTTTATGCCCTGACTTGAGCAGCCCAAAAAAAGCAGAGCACCTCCTGCACCATTCTGGATCATTCTGGATCATCACAGAACACACGTTTTTTTATGAAAAAAAAACCAAACTTGGTTTCCATGGAGCAAGGACTACGATTTGCAATTCTTTTAGTGCCATCCAACCTCCTGCTTGTTTCATCTATCCCAGATTATCCTCGCTTTAGGAGTGCAGACCTAGAGCTGGGCAAACTGCTGCAATCCAAACCTCTGTGGGATAGTTTGAGGACAATCTGGGATTAGAATTGTGCAAGAACAGAGCACAAATGTCTTTTTCTCCCCTTATAAGGCCAAATTTCAGCCCTGCAGCTGCTCCAAAGGGGGATCGAGAGTCCTCCAGCCCCTCCAGGAGAGGATCAGCACCCATCCACGCTGGTTTTTCTCCCAAATCCCAGTCCTGAAGGGCACCCACACCACCCAGCACGTGTGTCCAAAAAAGCACCGCGACTTTTCCCAGCTGCTCAGGCCTTGGGAACCACCACATGGAAAAGCCAACGTGTCGCTGGTGAGCCAGAAAATTTCAAAACCATCTGGTTCCTACGTGTCCGAGGCTTCCAGGAGCTCGGGGTCGGGGCCTCACCGACCTCCCCCTGGCAGCAAGGGGAACGGGAGAGGGGCAAAGGCGGCGCGGCCGCTCCTCCGCTCCCCCGGGGAAGGTCGGGATGGAGCCGGGAACCCTCTTTTACCCAGGGAAGGGCAGCATGGAGCGGCTAAACGCTCTGCTCCCCGCCGAAGGGCGGGATGAAGCCGGTAAATCGTCTTTTCCCCGGGGAAAAGTGCGATGGAGCGGTAACCCTTTGCTTGCCGGAGAAGGGCGGGATGGAACCTGTAATCCCCCACACATACACACACACTTCTCCCAGGGCAGGGCGGGATGGAGCCGAGAATCCTCCTCTCCTTAAGGAAGGGCGGGATGGAGCCAAGAACTCTCTTCTCCTTAAGGAAGGGCACGATGGAGCCGGGAACCCTCTCTCTTTAAGGAAGGGCACGATGGAGCCGGTCGCCTTCCCCTCTCCAAAGGAAGAGCGGCACGCAGCCAGTAATTCCCCCCCTCCTAGGGAAGAGCCGAATGAAGCCGCTCGCCTTCCCTTCTCCCAGGGAAGAGCGGGATGGAGCCGGTCGCCTTTCCCTCCCTCAAGGAAGAGCGGCATGGAGCCGGTAACCACCGCCCAACTCGCAGAGAAGGGAGCGATGGAGCCGCCCGCCCTCACTCCCCGGCCCCGCTTACCCGTGCCCGGCTCGCCGCTCTCTCCGCGCCGCCTCTCGCCCATGGCCGGGGCTCGCCGGAGCCGTCCCTCAGGCTGCCCTCATGGCCGCCCCGCCCGGCCCCCGGCGCGGCGCCGCTACCGGGCCGGCGGGCATGAGGCGGCGCGGGGCGGCCCCCGCCATCCGCCGGCCCCAGGAAGTGGAAGGACGGAGCGGGCGGGGGAGGAGGGAGAGAGGGAGGGAGGGAAGGAGGGGACGAGGGGCGGGAGCGGGAGCGGCGGGGAAAAAAACAGAAAGTGAAAACTGAACCGGAAAGACAGCGAGGGGCCGCCCGCGGGTTTTCCTCTTCCCGCGGTCACCGGCCTTTGGCTGTCCGTAGGCGGCTTTTCCTCTTCCGTCCCTCGGCGCTGCTCCCTCGTTGTCAGCTCCTGGCTCGGCCATCGGTGTTTGCCGTTGGTGGGGATCTTGTCCCAGTCTTGCCTTGGCCTCCTCCTCCATCACCTCAGCCCCTCCATGCCTGACTTCAGCTCTTCCCGCTGCCCTTTCCCTCATCCCCTCACATCATGGCGAGAGACCCTTTTCTCCCCATCAGTCCTTCCCCATCAGTGTTTTCCCTCTTTTGGGTCTTCCCTCAGTTTCCCCCGATTCCCTTCCTGACCAATTCAATGTTTGTTCAGCTCTTCCCACTGCCCATTCCCTCATTCTCCTGTTTTGAGCTCTCATCCCAGTGCCTTCCCCAGAGCCATGTTTTGGACCTTCCCTCAGTCCCCAAACTCCTTCCTTGTCCCCTCACATCACGGCCAGAGCTCCTTTTCTCACCTCAATCTTTCCCCCTCAGTATTTTCCCTTTGTGTTCCTTGTTTCGGGCCTTTCCTCAGTCCCAAAATTTCTTTCCTTAACCCCTCACACTTTGCCTCATGGCCAGAGCCCCCTCCCTCCCCTCAGTCCTCCTCCCTCAGTATTTTATCTCAATCCCCTTCCTGATCCCCTCAGCCCCTCCATACCTGACCTCAGCTCTTCCCACAACTACTCAAGGACAAACTCTCCTTGCTGGGCTGATCTGGGCAGATTCTGCATGGTGCAGAAAAACTGAATTATTTATCTTTTTTTTTCTGCTTAGACATCCATTTCCATGTGTGTGTGTGTGTGTGTGTGGTCTGGAGGCACCCCGTGAGGGACTTCGGGGGTATCCCAATCCATGGGGGACGAGGGGCGGGAGCGGGAGCGGCGGGGAAAAAAACAGAAAGTGAAAACTGAACCGGAAAGACAGCGAGGGGCCGCCCGCGGGTTTTCCTCTTCCCGCGGTCACCGGCCTTTGGCTGTCCGTAGGCGGCTTTTCCTCTTCCGTCCCTCGGCGCTGCTCCCTCGTTGTCAGCTCCTGGCTCGGCCATCGGTGTTTGCCGTTGGTGGGGATCTTGTCCCAGTCTTGCCTTGGCCTCCTCCTCCATCACCTCAGCCCCTCCATGCCTGACTTCAGCTCTTCCCGCTGCCCTTTCCCTCATCCCCTCACATCATGGCGAGAGACCCTTTTCTCCCCCTCAGTCCTTCCCCATCAGTGTTTTCCCTCTTTTGGGTCTTCCCTCAGTTTCCCCCGATTCCCTTCCTGACCAATTCAATGTTTGTTCAGCTCTTCCCACTGCCCCTTCCCTCATTCTCCTGCTTTGAGCTCTCATCCCAGTGCCTTCCCCAGAGCCATGTTTTGGACCTTCCCTCAGTCCCCAGACTCCTTCCTTGTCCCCTCACATCACGGCCAGAGCTCCTTTTCTCACCTCAATCTTTCCCCCTCAGTATTTTCCCTTTGTGTTCCTTGTTTCGGGCCTTTCCTCAGTCCCAAAATTTCTTTCCTTAACCCCTCACACTTTGCCTCATGGCCAGAGCCCCCTCCCTCCCCTCAGTCCTCCTCCCTCAGTATTTTATCTCAATCCCCTTCCTGATCCCCTCAGCCCCTCCATACCTGACCTCAGCTCTTCCCACAACTACTCAAGGACAAACTCTCCTTGCTGGGCTGATCTGGGCAGATTCTGCATGGTGCAGAAAAACTGAATTATTTATCTTTTTTTTTCTGCTTAGACATCCATTTCCATGTGTGTGTGTGTGTGTGTGTGTGGTCTGGAGGCACCCCGTGAGGGACTTCGGGGGTATCCCAATCCATGGGGGACAAGGGGACATTGGGAACAGGGATTGGGCTGGGGGTTGAAGGGAAGCACTGAGGTGAGGGACACAATAATGGGGTGAGGAGATGAGGGAAGGGGACGGAATGGATAATGAAATATGGGGGGAAGGCCCTGAGGGGATCAGGGAAGGGGTTTTAGGGGGATTGAGGGAAGGCTCTGAGAGGCAATGACTGAGGTGAAGGAAAGGGTTTAAGGAATGATGTGAAGGAATGAGGAGAGATCCAAAACAAAAATCTGGGGATGGCACTGAAGTGAGTGATGGGCTCAGAGCAGGAGAAGACTGAGGGAATGAGGGTGAGTGACACAGAAATGGGGTGAGGAGGTGAGGAAAGGAGATGGAATGGATGAAGAAAGGTGGGGAAAGGCCCTGAGGGAAGGGGCTGAGGGAAGAGCCAAAATGAGGGGCTGAGGGGATCAGGGAAGGAGTTTTGGGGGGATTGAAGGAAGGCTCTGAGGGGGAAGGACTGAGGTGAAAGAAGATCCAAACTGAGAAACTGAGGAAAAACCCCGGGCCAGAACAGATAAAAAATGATGGGCGAAGGCCCTGATGGAAGGGGCTGAGGGAAGAGCCAAAATGAAGGGCTGAGGAAAACCACTGGGCCAAAACAGATAAAAAATGATGGGGGAAGCCCCTGAGGGAAAAGCCAAAGTGATGGGCTGAGGAAAAACACTGAGGGGCGAGGACTGAGGTGAAAGAAGGGGTTTAAGGAATGTTGTGAGGGAATGAGGAAAGATCCAAATTAAAGATCTGGGTAAGGCTCTGAGGTGAGGGAAGAAGATTGAGAGGATGAGGGTGAGTAACAGAGAAATGGGGAGAGGAGATGAGGGAAGGGGACAGAATGGATAATGAAATATGGGGGGAAGGCCCTGAGGGGATCAGGGAAGGGGTTTTAGGGGGATTGAGGGAAGGCTCTGAGAGGCAATGACTGAGGTGAAGGAAAGGGTTTAAGGAATGATGTGAAGGAATGAGGAGAGATCCAAAACAAAAATCTGGGGATGGCACTGAAGTGAGTGATGGGCTCAGAGCAGGAGAAGACTGAGGGAATGAGGGTGAGTGACACAGAAATGGGGTGAGGAGGTGAGGAAAGGAGATGGAATGGATGAAGAAAGGTGGGGGAAGGCCCTGAGGGAAGGGGCTGAGGGAAGAGCCAAAATGAGGGGCTGAGGGGATCAGGGAAGGAGTTTTGGGGGGATTGAAGGAAGGCTCTGAGGGGGAAGGACTGAGGTGAAAGAAGATCCAAACTGAGAAACTGAGGAAAAACCCCGGGCCAGAACAGATAAAAAATGATGGGCGAAGGCCCTGATGGAAGGGGCTGAGGGAAGAGCCAAAATGAAGGGCTGAGGAAAACCACTGGGCCAAAACAGATAAAAAATGATGGAAGCCCCTGAGGGAAGAGCCAAAATGAGGGGCTGAGGAAAAACACTGAGGGGCGAGGACTGAGGTGAAAGAAGGGGTTTAAGGAATGTTGTGAGGGAATGAGGAAAGATCCAAATTAAAGATCTGGGTAAGGCTCTGAGGTGAGGGAAGAAGATTCAGAGGATGAGGGTGAGTAACAGAGAAATGGGGAGAGGAGATGAGGGAAGGGGACAGAATGGATAAAGGAGGCTGAGGGAGGTGAAAGGCCCTGAGGGAAGGGGCTGAGGGGATCAGGGAAGGAATTTTAGGGGGATTGAGAGAAGGCTCTGAAGGGGAAGGACTGAGGTGAGGGAAGGGGTTTAAGGAATGATGTGAGGGGTGAGGAAAACAAGGAATGAGAGGAAGGGGACTGAGGGAAGATCCAAAATGAGGGACTGAGGAAAAACCCTGGGCCAGAACAGATTGAAAATGATGGGAAGGTCCTGAGGGAAGAGCCAAAATGAAGGGATCAGGGAAGGGGTTTTGGGGGCATTGAGGGAAGGCACTGAGGGGGAAGGACTGAGGTGAGGGAAGGGGTTTAAGGAATGATGTCAGGGGTGAGGGAAAGAAGGAACAAGGAATTATAAACAAGGAATGAGAGGAAGGGGGCTGAGGGAAGAGCCAAAATGAAGGGCTGAGGAAAAACCCTGGGCCAGAACAGATAGAAAGCGATGGTAAAAGGCTCTGAGGGGATCAAGGAAGGGGTTAATGAAAGTTCCTTCTGATGGTTCTGAGCTGCCTCACCCCAGTATTGAACCCTACATGGAACAGAAGAAGCCGAGGATCATTTTTAGGCTTCGCCAGGCTTGGCAAAAACACCAAAAACACATCCAACGGCAAATGTTGCAATCGACTCAAGCAGGGAACAGGGAGATCTGGACTTGCCCAAGCTCTTACACAAGAGGATTTAGGAACACCCCGTCCTGAACGCTGGGGCAAAGGTTGTGTTTGGCTGAGCAAGGAGTCTTGGAGGGGATTCCACTTGGCTTTCCTTTTGGCAACGAGATCCATGGTGCTGAACCCATAATAAATTTATGGAGAGGCTGATTCCTGATCCTTGCTGAGCTGTTTCCATGCTCGGTGCCCAGGCTCTGCTTTAGCTCTGCTGAGCTTTGCAGGAAAGATTGGCAAACAAATTCAAACATAAGGAACAACAATGGGCCAACTCATTTATGAGTCACTTATTAGCCAAATAAGTCAGGAATGTGCCCTTATGGATATTTCACCCACCCTAAGAATTTGCTACGGTGGCAGCAGAGTGCAAAGTGCTGCTGCCCAGTGAAAAAAATTAAGTTGGGGGGGAGAAAAAGTGATTTTTTTTGTTGGGGCAGGGCACCATTTATACCAGTTTTTGTAGCACTGTTTATTTATTATTTTTTTAAGTTTATTATTCTTTATTAAATGTTATTATTTATTTAATATTTATTCCTACTGTTTTAAATATTTATTATTATTTATTTAACTAATAAATAGATGCTATTTATAGCATTTATCGCAGTAAATTTGTCAGATTCATGGGTTTTTCTAGCTCCTTCTGGCAGATAAAAACCTGGAATTCTTGCTGAGACAGAAATATGTTCCTGGTTGCCCTTAAAGGGGGAAAAATCCACAGCCTTGACCGACGAGGTATGAGGAGGTCTCTGTGATTTTGGGGCATCTCAAGAGCAGATCTGCAGTCAGAACCTCCAAACTTCCACCTCCAGTGGGATCATCCAGTCACTGTCCCAATGAAATCCAAGTATTTTAGTGTTGGGAGCTACTTCTAGTGAGGAAATGTAGAATTTCATGTGACAGCTCCTTTTTCAGTGCTGAGAAAAGCAAAGAATTCAAAGGAATTTCATCAGCAGCACTTCTGACAGTTTGGACTGGATCATCCTAAAAATCTTTTCCAAATTTAATTCTTTTCTTCATTTTGCTGAGGAGAGGAACTGGAGCCTCTGGAGGTCAGAGCCCATTTTTAAGTGGAGTTCCTCTGTCCCTTTTTGGTGCCTCATGACTTTTAGGGTGGTGACAAGCCAAGCCCATGATGTCACCGTGGTGGGGACCCGGTTCCTGGCAAGGCTTTCTTTTGGCTTCTTTGAAACCTTGACTCATAAGGTTCTGGCGTACTTAAATGTGAATTTAAAGACGTCATTTGGAGTTTTATTTCCCTCTTTTATTCAGAAAAAAAAAATGGAATTGTGCCGTCGGTGAAGGAAAACAGTTGCAATGGAATGGCTGGAGTGGGAGGTGGGAGCAGCAGTTCCTGATGACATCAGGGTAAAGCAAATCAATTTATTAATTATTGACTGTGTGGAACAGTGCCAGGAGCCCAGGGTGAGAGCACAACCTGCAAACACCAGAGAGGATCCTTCTCCTGCCCTGGGTTAATCCCAGAAATTGATGGAAAAGCTGAATTTCTCTGCTTTTCTCCATGAAAATGCTGATTTTTCTCCTATTTCCTTATGAGAGACTCCTCAGGAAATGACTCAAAGGTGACAAGAAAGGCAGAAAATTCTCTTTTTTTTCAAATCTCTGCCATCCCCCCCCCTCTGTTTTTCACAAAAATTCTCAATTTCGTTCCTTCATTCTTAAAAAAAATAATTCCTGGTGCTGCTCAGCTGATAATTTTGCAATATTAACCTGAAGATTTCTAGATATTGAGTTTAAATATGAATTATTGACATTGATTATTGCTCTTTACCAGGTACAGCTGGAGCCAGCAGGGACGAGCTCTTTCCAAAAGGTTTGATCCTGGCAAAAATCTTGGAATCATGGAATGGTTTGGGTGGGAAGGGACTTAAAACTCCTCCAATTCCATGGGCAGAGATATTTCTACTATCCCAAATTTTTCCAAGCCCCATGCAGAGATGGAGCAGCCACAATTTCCTTGGAAAAATCTAATTTTTTTTGAGAGATGCCAGCTTGGAAAAATCCTCCAATCCTCCCTTGGCAGGATGGAACAATTGCAGTTTTAATGGAATTATTGCCATGGATTTTCCAGCTCCATCATTTCAAACCAGAATGGATTTATGGAATTTCTAGCTGGGGCAAAGTTGGTATTTTCTCCAAAATTTGATATTTCCTCCCAAATTGGAATTTTCAGGAGAAAAACATATATGAAAAATCCATATATGAAAAATCCTCCAATTCTCCCTTGGCAGGATGGAGCAATTGCAGTTTTAATGGAATTATTTCCAAGGATTTTCCAGCTCCATCATTTCAAACCAGAATGGATTTATGGAATTTCATCCTCCTGCAGGGGCAAAAATTGGTATTTTCTCCAAAATTGGTAATTTCCAGGAGATAAACATGGATTTTTTTCCATCCCAGCAGGGACCAAGGACAGGGTGGATTTTCATGTTAAGAAGTGAAGTCACTGCAGAATAGAAATGACAGAATTTTACTTTTTTTTTTTTTTTTTTTTCCCAAAAAAAAATGGAATTTCACCACTGTTTCCCAATCCCAGTATCCCCTTCCCACACCCCCCAGTCCCCCTGTTCACCCATCCCAAAATTTCCAGTACCCCTGTCCCCCCATCCCAGTACCACCAGTACCCTGTTCCCCCATCCCAGTCTCCCCAATACCCCTGTCTCCCTATCCCAGTGCCCCCAGTACCCAATTCCCCCATCCCAGTCCCCCCAGTGCCCCCGTTGCCCATCCCGGTGTCCCCAGTGCGGCCCGTCCCCGCACTACAACTCCCGGCGTGCTCCGCGCCGGGCCCGTCAGCCCCGGGAGGCCCCGGCGGAGCGGGACGAGGCCGCAGCGGCGGGGCCGGGCCATGGAGAGCCCCGGCGGCAGCGGCTCCCTGCGGGGCGACATCAGTGCGTGGGCACGGGACGGGCCGGGGACACCTCGGGGAACGGCTGGGACAGGAGCTGGGAAGGGGAGCCGCGCCGGGAATAGACGGGAGCTGCGCGGAGCGGCGGGTTTGGGGCTCGCGGGGTGCTTTGGGGTTTGCGGGGTGGGTTTGGGGCTTGCAGGGTGGTTTTGGGGGTTGAAGTGTGGGCTTGGGTGTTAAAGAGTGGTTTGGGGGTTAAAGGATTGGGTTTTGGGGGCTGCAGGACGGTTTTGGGGTTTAGAGTGTGATTTTGGGGGTTAAAGGATGGGTTTTGGGGGCTGCAGGACGGTTTAGGGAGCGAGTGGCCTCTCGCAAGGAAAGGGACAAGAGGATGCTCTGAGGACAGCGTCAGGACACCGGCAACGATCCTTGCTCCTCCCTAATCCCCGGGGAACATCCCTGCTCCTCCCCGAATCCCCGGGGAACATCCCTGCTCCTCCCTGAATCCCCCGGGGAACATCCCTGCTCCTCCCCGAATCCCCGCGTGCGGTGTTGTGGGGCTGTGGGATCGGGATGTGCCCAAATCCCGGCCGGGCCAGCGGCTGCTCCTGGGTCACCCCCGGGACTCGTGTCCCCATTCCCGGGGCAGGGACAATTCCACCATCCCAGGCTGCTCCAGCCCCAGTGTCCAGCCTGGCCTTGGGCACTGCAGGGATGCAGGGGCAGCCCCAGCTGCTCTGGCAATTCCAGCCCAGCCAGGAATTCCTCATGGCCAAGATCCCATCCATGGCTGCCCTCTGGCAGTGGGAGCCATTCCCTGTGTCCTGTCCATCCCTTGTCCCCAGTCCCTCTGCAGCTCCATCCTCATTTGGATTTGCTCCTCCTGCCATAAAAACCACGAGGAGCTCCAGGCAAGGAAAACCATCCTGCCCAGGGATATTGGCAAAGGAATGAGGGGGGAAAATCCCTGTGAAAATGCTGGGACTCAGAATTTTATTTTTTTTTATGGAGAGGCTGCATTAACAGGGAGCTGTTTTTACTCAGTGCCACCTCCAAAGCAGCACCCACCTGAGAGGAGGTGGCATTGTCACCTCACGGTGCCACGTGAGCCAGAACTGCCCCGTGCTGGGCGCTGAGCAAAAGTGTTGGAGCTGGGAACTTCTTTTTCCAAGCTCCATGGACTTTTTGGGAAGGGATTTTTTGAGGGTTTTTTGGGCTGAGTTTTTCCTTGATCCCAGCTCTTTCTCCTTGCAGCCAGCCCATGCTCCTGCAGGAATCCAGAGGGATTTTTTGAGTTAGGCTGAGGTTTTTTTGGGCTGAGTTTTTCCTTGATCCCAGCTCTTTCTCCTTGCAGCCAGCCCATGCTCCTGCAGGAATCCAGAGGGATTTTTGAGTCAGGCTGAGTTTTTTCTTGATCCCAGCTCTTTTTCCATGTTCCTGCAGGAACCCAGAGTTTGGGAAGGGATTTTTGAGTCAGACTGAGTTTCTCCTTGATCCCAGCTCTTTTTCCATGCTCCTTCAGGAATCCAGAGCTCCTTGGAACAATTTGGGCTGGAAGGGTTGGAAACCCATCTTGTTCCATCCCAGGTTTCTCCAAGCCCTCTCCAGCCCAGCCTGGGACAATTCCAAGGATGGGGCAACCACATCTTTTCTGGGAATTCCATCCCAGCTCCTCCCCACCCTCCCAGCCAGAAATTCCATCCCTGTGGGATGCCATTTTCCCCCACATGCACAATTTTACTAATGAACTTAATGATGTTTTCATGTAATTATTATGAAATTAATGTCAATTTCATGGAATTATTGCCAGGGGTTTTCCAGCTCCATCATTTCAAACCAGAATGGATTTATGGAATTTCATCCTCCTGCAGGGGCAAAGCTGGGTTTCTCCAAAATTGGTATTTTCTCCCAAATTGGGTATTTTCTCCCAAAAGGATATTTTCTCCCAAAATTGGAATTTTCAGGAGAAAAACATAAATGAAAAATCCTCCGGTTGTCCCTTGGCAGGATGGAACAATTGCAGTTTTAATGGAATTATTGCCATGGACTTTCCAGCTCCATCATTTCAAACCAGAAGTTTTCCACTGGATTTATGGAACTTAAAAATTAGTATTTTCTCCCAAAATTGGAATTTTCAGGAGAAAAACATGTATGAAAAATCCTGCAATTCTCACTTGGCAGGATGGATCAAATGCAGTTTTAATGGAATTATTGCCATGGCTTTTCCAGCTCCATCATTGTGCTGATCAGAACGGATTTATGGAATTTCATCCTTCTGCAGGGGCAGAACTGGGTTTCTCCCAAATGGATATTTGCTCTAAAATTGGTATTTCCTCCCAAAATTAGTATTTTCTTCAAAATTGCTATTTTCTCCCAAAAATTACTATTTTCTCCCACATGGATATTTTCTCCCACATGGATATTTTCTCCCAAATGGATATTTTCTCCCAAACTATTAATTTCCATGAGAAAACCTCATGGAAAAATGAATTTTCCCATCCCATCGGAAGCCAAGCACAGCGTGCTCTCTAACGTCACGAAGCGAGCTCGCTGCGCAGCAGGAGCGACAGAATCTCACCGTTATTTTTCCCCTAAAAAAACCCCAAATTTCCCAAATCTGCCCTCTCCTCCCCAGGTTTCTGGGCGGACCGCACGCCGGTGCACGAGGCCGCGCGGCGCGGGGAGATCCGGCGGCTGCAGCAGCTGATCGAGAGCGGCGCCTGCGTCAACGCCGTCACCTACGACTCCATCACCCCCCTGCACGAGGCCAGCCTCAGGGGACAGACCCAGTGTGTCAAACTGCTGCTGGACGCGGGGGCCCAGGTGTGCAGCCCGCCCTGGTCCAGCTGGGAATTCGCCTGGATGGGGTTTGAGAGGCGTTTGTGGGGTTGGGGTCACCGCCGGTCAGGGCTAGGGGTGGGATGGGGTGGGGGGATGTGGAGGGATTTGTTGTGGTTTTGGGGTTTCAGGGTGAGAAGGTTCTGGAGGGGATGGAAGGTGTCCAGGGAATGGAGCTGGGAAGGGGCTGGAGAAGCAGGAGGGGCTGAGGGAGCCAGGAAGGGTCTGGAGAAGCAGGAGGGGCTGAGGGAGCTGGGAAGGGTCTGGAGAAGCAGGAGGGGCTGAGGGAGCTGGGAAGGGTCTGGAGAAGCAGGAGGGGCTGAGGGAGCTGGGAAGGGTCTGGAGAAGCAGGAGGGGCTGAGGGAGCTGGGAAGGGTCTGGAGAAGCAGGAGGGGCTGAGGGAGCTGGGAAGGGTCTGGAGAAGCAGGAGGGGCTGAGGGAGCTGGGAAGGGTCTGGAGAAGCAGGAGGGGCTGAGGGAGCTGGGAAGGGTCTGGAGAAGCAGGAGGGGCTGAGGGAGCTGGGAAGGGTCTGGAGAAGCAGGAGGGGCTGAGGGAGCTGGGAAGGGTCTGGAGAAGCAGGAAAAGCTGTGGGAGCTGGGAAGGGTCTGGAGAAGCAGGAGGGGCTGAGGGAGCTGGGAAGGGTCTGGAGAAGCAGGAAAAGCTGAGGGAGCTGGGAAGGGTCTGGAGAAGCAGGAAAAGCTGTGGGAGCTGGGAAGGGTCTGGAGAAGCAGGAAAAGCTGTGGGAGCTGGGAAGGGTCTGGAGAAGCAGGAGGGGCTGAGGGAGCTGGGAAGGGTCTGGAGAATGAGGAAAAGCTGTGGGAGCTGGGAAGGGGCTGGAGAACCAGGAGGGGCTGAGGGAGTTGGGAAGGGAATGGAGAACCAGGAGCAGCTGAGGGAGCTGGGAAGGGTCTGGAGAACCAGGAGAGGCTGAGGGAGCTGGGAAGGGTCTGGAGAAGCAGGAGGGGCTGAGGGAGCTGGGAAGGGGCTGAGCCTGGAGCAAAGGAGGCTCAAGGGGGACCTTGTGGCTCTGCACAAGTCCCTGCCAGGAGGGGACAGCCGGGGGGGTCGGGCTGTGCTCCAGGGAACAGGGACAGGAGCAGAGGGAACGGCCTCAGCCTGGGCCAGGGGAGCTCAGAGGGGATTTTGGGGAAAAATTCCTCCTGGAGACATGGATCAGTGCTGCATTTAGCATTGCTGCTTCATCTGACCTCCACCCCCTTCCAAATCACTCCCAACCTTCACAATTCCATGATCCCATGATCTCAGCTGAGATTTTCCCTGCTTTTTCCTGCTTTTAAGCTGTTTTTTTCTTGCTTTCCCCTACTTTTAACCTACTTCTAACCTGTTTTTCCCTATTTTTGACCTACTTTTCCCTACTTTTCACCTGCTTTTCCCCTACTTTTCACCTGCTTTTCCCTACCCCTAACCTGCTTTTAACTGCTTTTAACATGCTTTTCCCTATTTTTCCCTACTTTTAACCTCCTTTTCCCTACTTTTGACCTGCTTTTACTTTTAACCTGCTTTTCCCTGCTTTTCACCTACTTTTCTCTACTTTTGACCTGCTTTTCCCTGCTTTTAACCTGCTTTTCCCTGCTTTCCTCTGCTTTTCCTACTTTTAATCTGCTTTTCCATTCTTCTAACCTGCTTTTCCCTACTTATAACCTTCTTTTCCCTACTCTTAACCTGCTTTTAACCTGCTTTTAACCTCCTTTCCCCTACTTTTAACCTGTTTTTCCCTGCTTTTCACCTACTTTTCCCCTACTTTTCCTACTTTTCACCTGCTTTTCCTTACTTTTAACCTGCTTTTCCCTGCTTTCCCCTGCTTTTTCTACTTTTATCTGCTTTTCCATACTTCTGACCTGCTTTCCCTACTTCTAACCTGCTTTTAACCTCCTTTTCCCTATTTTTAACCTGCTTTTAACCTCCTTTTAACCTTCTTTTCCCTACTTTTAACCTCCTTTTCCCTACTTCTAACCTCCTTTTCCCTACTTCTAACCTGCTTTCCCCCTCCTTTTCCCTACTTTTAACCTCCTTTTCCCTACTTTTAACCTGCTTTTAACCTGCTTTTAACCTCCTTTTCCCTACTTATAACCTCCTTTTCCCTACTTTTAACCTGCTTTTAACCTCCTTTTAACCTCCTTTTCCCTACTTTTAACCTCCTTATAACCTGCTTTTAACCTCCTTTTCCCTACTTATAACCTCCTTTTCCCTACTTTTAACCTGCTTTTAACCTCCTTTTAACCTCCTTTTCCCTACTTTTAACCTCCTTATCCCTACTTTTAATCTCCTTTTCCCTACTTCTAACCTACTTTTCCCTACTTCTAACCTCCTTTTCCCTACTTCTAACCTGCTTTCCCCTACTTTTAACCTGTTTTCCCCTACTTCTAACCTGCTTTTCCCTCCTTTTCCCGTGTTTTCCCGTGTTTTTCCCCCGCGCTCCCCGCAGGTGGACGCGCGGAACATCGACGGCAGCACGCCGCTGTGCGACGCGTGCGCCTCGGGCAGCGTGGAGTGCGTCAGGGTGCTGCTGTCGCACGGGGCCAAGGTGAACCCGCCGCTGTACACGGCCTCGCCGCTGCACGAGGCCTGCATGAACGGTAACGGCGCCTGCCGGGACAATTCCGGACAATTCCGGGACAATTCCAGACAATTAGGACAATTCGGGACAATTCCGGGCAATTCAGGACAATTCAGGACAATTCGGGACAATTCCGGACAATTCCGGGACAATTCCAGACAATTAGGACAATTCGGGACAATTCCGGGCAATTCAGGACAATTCAGGACAATTCGGGACAATTCCGGACAATTCCGGGACAATTCCAGACAATTAGGACAATTCGGGACAATTCCGGGCAATTCAGGACAATTCAGGACAATTCGGGACAATTCCGGACAATTCCGGGACAATTCCAGACAATTAGGACAATTCGGGACAATTCCGGGCAATTCAGGACAATTCAGGACAATTCGGGACAATTCCGGACAATTCCGGGACAATTCCAGACAATTAGGACAATTCGGGACAATTCCGGGCAATTCAGGACAATTCAGGACAATTCGGGACAATTCCGGACAATTCCGGGACAATTCCAGACAATTAGGACAATTCGGGACAATTCCGGGCAATTCAGGACAATTCAGGACAATTCGGGACAATTCCGGACAATTCCGGGACAATTCCAGACAATTAGGACAATTCGGGACAATTCCGGGCAATTCAGGACAATTCAGGACAATTCGGGACAATTCCGGACAATTCCGGGACAATTCCAGACAATTAGGACAATTCGGGACAATTCCGGGCAATTCAGGACAATTCAGGACAATTCGGGACAATTCCGGACAATTCCGGGACAATTCCAGACAATTAGGACAATTCGGGACAATTCCGGGCAATTCAGGACAATTCAGGACAATTCGGGACAATTCCGGACAATTCCGGGACAATTCCAGACAATTAGGACAATTCGGGACAATTCCGGGCAATTCAGGACAATTCAGGACAATTCGGGACAATTCCGGACAATTCCGGGACAATTCCAGACAATTAGGACAATTCGGGACAATTCCGGGCAATTCAGGACAATTCAGGACAATTCGGGACAATTCCGGACAATTCCGGGACAATTCCAGACAATTAGGACAATTCGGGACAATTCCGGGCAATTCAGGACAATTCAGGACAATTCGGGACAATTCCGGACAATTCCGGGACAATTCCAGACAATTAGGACAATTCGGGACAATTCCGGGCAATTCAGGACAATTCAGGACAATTCGGGACAATTCCGGACAATTCCGGGACAATTCCAGACAATTAGGACAATTCGGGACAATTCCGGGCAATTCAGGACAATTCAGGACAATTCGGGACAATTCCGGACAATTCCGGGACAATTCCAGACAATTAGGACAATTCGGGACAATTCCGGGCAATTCAGGACAATTCAGGACAATTCGGGACAATTCCGGACAATTCCGGGACAATTCCAGACAATTAGGACAATTCGGGACAATTCCGGGCAATTCAGGACAATTCAGGACAATTCGGGACAATTCCGGACAATTCCGGGACAATTCCAGACAATTAGGACAATTCGGGACAATTCCGGGCAATTCAGGACAATTCAGGACAATTCGGGACAATTCCGGACAATTCCGGGACAATTCCAGACAATTAGGACAATTCGGGACAATTCCGGGCAATTCAGGACAATTCATAACCTGCTTTTAACCTCCTTTTAACCTCCTTTTCCCTACTTTTGACCTCCTTTTCCCTACTTTTAACCTGCTTTTGACCTCCTTTTCCCTACTTTTAACCTGCTTTTGACCTCCTTTTCCCTACTTTTAACCTCCTTATCCCTACTTTTAATCTCCTTTTCCCTACTTCTAACCTACTTTTCCCTACTTCTAACCTCCTTTTCCCTACTTCTAACCTGCTTTCCCCTACTTTTAACCTGTTTTCCCCTACTTCTAACCTGCTTTTCCCTCCTTTTCCCGTGTTTTCCCGTGTTTTTCCCCCGCGCTCCCCGCAGGTGGACGCGCGGAACATCGACGGCAGCACGCCGCTGTGCGACGCGTGCGCCTCGGGCAGCGTGGAGTGCGTCAGGGTGCTGCTGTCGCACGGGGCCAAGGTGAACCCGCCGCTGTACACGGCCTCGCCGCTGCACGAGGCCTGCATGAACGGTAACGGCGCCTGCCGGGACAATTCCGGACAATTCCGGGACAATTCCAGACAATTAGGACAATTCGGGACAATTCCGGGCAATTCAGGACAATTCAGGACAATTCGGGACAATTCCGGACAATTCCGGGGGCGTTAGTTCCGGGGTCATGCCAGGGCAGCTCCAGGGGCATTCCAGGGCAGTTCCAGGGTCATTCTTGGGTCATTTCCAGGTCATTCCAAGGTAATTCCAGGGCAATTCCAGGGTCATTCCTGGAGAATTCCGGGGTCATTCCAGGGCAATTCCAGGGTCATTCTTGGGTCATTTCCAGGTCATTCCAAGGTAATTCCAGGGCAATTCCAGGGTCATTCCTGAAGAATTCCGGGGTCATTCCAGGGCAGTTCCAGGGTCATTCCTGGAGAATTACGGGGTCATTCCAGGGCAATTCCAGGGTCATTCCTGGAGAATTCCAGGGTCATTCCAGGGCAATTCCAGGATCATTCCAGGGCAGTTCCAAGGTCATTCCAGGGTCATTCTTGGGTCATTTCCAGGTCATTCCAAGGTAATTCCAGGGCAATTCCAGGGTCATTCCTGAAGAATTCCGGGGTCATTCCAGGGCAGTTCCAGGGTCATTCTTGGGTCATTTCCAGGTCATTCCAAGGTAATTCCAGGGTCATTCTTGGAGAATTCCAGGGTCATTCCAGGGCAATTCCAGGATCATTGCAGGGCAATTCCAGGGTCATTCTTGGGTCATTTCCAGGTCATTCCAAGGTAATTCCAGGGCAATTCCAGGGTCATTCTAGCGTCATCCCAGGAGAATTCCAGGGCAGTTCCAAGGTCGTGCTAGGGCAGTTCCAAGGTCGTGCTAGGGCAATTCCAAGGTCATTCCAGGGCAATTCCAAGGTCATTTCTGGAGAATTCCAGGGGCATTAATTCTGGGGTCATTCCAGGGCAATTCCTGGGTCATTCCAGGGTCATTCCAGAGCAGTTCCAGGGTCATTCCAGGGTCATTCCAGGGCAGTTCCAGGGTCATCCCAGTGTCATTAATTCCAGGGTCGTTCTGGGCTAGTTCCAGAGTAATTCCAGGGTCATTCCGTGGGTGTTTACGGCTTGGAATGGGAAAAAAGCACCAGAACTCTTCATGTGACCAGGGAATGGTCAGGCTGTGCTGGTGCTTGGAGCCTGTCAGGAGGGAAGGGAGAGAGATCCCTGCAGGGATCCCTCTGATCCCACTGCTGATCCCACTGCTGATCCCATTGCTGATCCCACTGCTGATCCCATTGCTGATCCCACTGCTGATCCTGTTGCTGATCCCACTGCTGATCCCATTGCTGATCCCATTGCTGATCCCACTGCTGATCCCATTGCTGATCCCATTGCTGATCCCATTCTGATCCCATTGCTGATCCCATGCTGATCCCATTCTGATCCCATTGCTGATCCCACTGCTGATCCCGTTGCTGATCCCATTGCTGATCCCATTGCTGATCCTGTTGCTGATCCCACTGCTGATCCCATTTCTGACCCCATTTTTCCCTGCAGAGATCCCTCTGATCCCATTTCTGATCCCGTTTTTCCCAGCAGAGCGGGAATTCTTCGTTTTCATTCCATCCTAGCGGGGCAGGAATTTCCAGTTTTCAGTGGCATTTTCCTGGTTTTCAGTGAGAATTCCATCCTAGTGGGGCAGGAATTCCCAGTTTCCAGTGGGAATTCCCAGTTTTCAGTGGGGTTTTCCTGGTTTTCAGTGGGAATTCAATCCCGGCGTGTTGGGAATTCCCAGTTTCCAGTGGGAATTCCATCCTGTTGGGCTAGGAATTCCCAGTTTTCAATGGGAATTCCCAGTTTTCAGCATGCATTCCGTTTTCAGCGGGAATTCCCAGTTTTCAGTGGGAATTCCATCCTGTTGGGGCAGGCATTCCCAGTTTTCAGCGGGAATTCCCAGTCTTCAGCGTGCATTCCCAGTTTTCGGTGGGAATTCCATCCTGTTGGGGCAGGCATTCCCAGTTTTCGGTGTGCATTCCCAGCTTTCAGCGGGAATTCCATCCTGTTGGGGCAGGAATTCCCAGTTTTCAGCGTGCATTCCCAGATTCCAGCGGGCATTCCCAGATTCCAGTGGCATTCCCAGTTTCCAGCAGGAATTCCCTGTTTTCAGTGTGCATTCCCAGTTTTCAGCAGAAATTCCCAGTTTCCAGTGAGAATTCCATCCTGTTGGGGCAGGAATTCCCAGTTTTCAGTGGGAATTCCATCCCGTTGGGGCAGGCATTCCCAGTTTCCAGCGGGCATTCCCAGTTTCCAGCGGGCATTCCCAGTTTCCAGCGGGCATTCCCAGTTTCCAGCAGGCATTCCCAGATTCCAGCGGGCATTCCCAGATTCCAGTGGCATTCCCAGTTTCCAGCAGGAATTCCCTGTTTTCAGTGTGCATTCCCAGTTTTCAGTGGGCATTCCCAATTTTCAGCAGGAATTCCCAGTTTTCAGTGGGAATTCCATCCCGTTGGGGCAGGCATTCCCAGTTTCCAGTGAGCATTCTGTTTCCAGCGGGCATTCCCAGTTTTCAGCAGGAATTCCCAGTTTTCGGCGTGCATTCCCAGTTTTCGGCGTGCATTCCTAGTTTTCAGTGTGCATTCCCAGTTTCCAGCAGGCATTCCCGGGTTTCCCTGTCCCAGGCAGCCCGGAGTGCGTGCAGCTGCTGATCGAGGTGGGTGCCAACCTGGAGGCGCACGACTGCCACTTCGGGACGCCCCTGCACGTGGCCTGTGCCCGCGAGCACCTGCACTGTGCCAAGCTGCTGCTGCAGGCAGGTACGGCCGGGAATCGCCCTGGGAAACGGCTCTGATCCCCTTCCTCAGCCCGTTCCTCAGCCCGTTCCTCATCCCATTCCTGATCCCGTTCTTCCCTGCACAGACCCCTCTGCTCCCATTCCTGATCCCATTTCTGGTGCCATTCCTGATACCATTCCTGATCCCGTTCCTCATCCCATTCCTCATCCCGTTCCTGATCCCATTCCTGATCCCATTCCTCATCCCGTTCCTGATCCCATTCCTGATCCCGTTCCTGATCCATTCCTGATCCCATTCCTGATCCCATTCCTCATCCCGTTCCTCATCCCGTTCCTCATCCCGTTCCTGATCCCGTTCCTGATCCCGTTCCTGATCCCGTTCCTGATCCCATTCCTGATCCTGTTCCTGATCCCATTCTTCCCTGCACAGACCCCTCTGCTCCCATTCCTGATCCCATTCCTGATCCCGTTCCTGATCCCGTTCCTGATCCCGTTCCTGATCCCGTTCCTGATCCCGTTCTTCCTGCACAGACCCCCTCTGCTCCCATTTCTCATCCCATTCCTGGTGCCATTCCTGATGTCATTTGCCACTTCTGATCCCATTCCTGATCCTGTTTTTCCCTGCACAGACCCCTCTGATCCCGATTTGAAACCCCATTTGGATCCCGTTTTTCCTTGTACAGACCCCTCTGCTCCCATTCCTCATCCCATTCCTGATCCTGTTTTTCCCTGCACAGACCCCTCTGCTCCCATTCCTCGTCCCATTTCTGTTCCCATTTCTGATCCCTTTTCCCTGGCCAAATCCCCTTTTCCCTAGATAAATTCCCTTTTCCCTGGCTAAATTTCCATTTTCCTGCTCGGATTCCCTTTTCCCTGGCTGGATTCCCTTTTCCCTGGTTAAATCCCCTTTTCCCTGGATAAATTTCCATTTTCCTTCCCGGATCCCCTTTTCCTTGGCCAAATCCCCTTTTCCCTGGATTTATTCCCTTTTCCCTGCCCGGATCCCCTTTCCCTGGCTGGATTTATTCCCTTTTCCCCACTGGATCCCCTTTCCCCGGCCAGATTTATTCCCTTTTCCCTGCCCAGATCCCCTTTCCCTGACCAGATTTATTCCCTTTTCCCCACTTGATCCCCTTTCCCTGGCCGGATTTATTCCCTTTTCCCCACTTGATCCCCTTTCCCTGGCTGGATTAATTCCCTTTTCCCTGCCCGGATCCCCTTTCCCTGGCCGGATTTATTCCCTTTTCCCTGCCCGGATCCCCTTTCCCTGACCAGATTTATTCCCTTTTCCCCACCTGATCCACTTTCCCTGGCTGGATTTATTCCCTTTTCCCCACCGGATCCCCTTTCCCTGGCTGGATTTATTCCCTTTTCCCTGCCTGGGCCCCCTTTCCCACCCCGGAATTCCCTGTGCCGTGCCCAGGAGCCAACGTGAACGCGGCCAAGCTGCACGAGACGGCGCTGCACCACGCGGCCAAGGTGCGCAACGTGGACCTGGTGGAGCTGCTGGTGGAGTTTGGAGGGAACATCTACGCCCGGGACAACCGGGGCAAGAAACCCTCGGATTACACCTGGAGCAGCAGCCCCACGGCCAAGTGCTTCGAGTTCTATGAGAGTGAGTGGGGAGTCCCCTTTTTATTGGGAATCCGGCCATCAAATCCCCTTTTTATTGGGAATCTGGCCATCAAATCCCCTTTTTATTGGGAATCTGGCCATCAAATCCCCTTTTTATTGGGAATTCAGCCATCAGATCCCCTTTTTATTGGGAATTCAGCCATCAAATCCCCTTTTTATTGGGAATTCAGCCATCAGATCCCCTTTTTATTGGGAATTCAGCCATCAAATCCCCTTTTTATTGGGAATTTGGCCATCAAATCCCCTTTGTCCTGTGAATTCGGCCATCAAATCCCCTTTTTATTGGGAATCCGGCCATCAAATCCCCTTTTTATTGGGAATTCGGCCATCAAATCCCCTTTTTATTGGGAATTCAGCCATCAAATCCCCTTTTTATTGGGAATCCGGCCATCAAATCCCCTTTTTATTGGGAATTCGGCCATCAAATCCCCTTTTTATTGGGAATTCAGCCATCAAATCCCCTTTTTATTGGGAATTCAGCCATCAAATCCCATTTTTATTGGGAATTCAGACATCAAATCCCCTTTTTATTGGAAATCTGGCCATCAAATCCACTTTGTCCTGGGATTTTGGTGATCAAATCCCCTTTCTCCTGGGAATTTGGCCATCAAATCCCCTTTTTATTGGGAATTTGGTCATCAAATCCCCTTTGTCCTGGGAATCTGGCCATCAAATTCTCTTTGTCCTGGGAATTTGGCCATCAAATCCCCTTTTTATTGGGAATTCAGCCATCAAATCCCCTTTTTATTGGGAATTCGGCCATCAAATCCCCTTTGTCCTGGGAATTCGGCAATCAAATCCCCTTTTTATTGGGAATCTGGCCATCAAATCCCCTTTTTATTGGGAATCCGGCCATCAAATCCCCTTTGTCCTGGGAATCCGGCCATCAAATCCCCTTTGTCCTGGGAATTCAGCCATCAAATCCCCTTTTTGGTCATCAAATACCCTTTTTATTGGGAATTCGGCCATCAAATCCCCTTTTTATTGGGAATTCAGCCATGAAATCCCCTTTTTATTGGGAATTCAGCCATCAAATTCCCTTTGTCCTGGGAATTTCGCCATCAAATCCCCTTTCTGATCTCATTTTTATCCCGTTCCTGATCCCGTTTTTATCCCGTTCCTTATCCTGTTTTTATCCCATTTTTACTCCATTACTGATCCCATTTTTACCCCGTTTTTATCCTGTTTTTCCCCCGTTCCTGATCCTGTTTTTCCCCTGTTCCTGATCCCATGTTGATCCCATTCCTGATCCCGTTTTTATCCCATTTTTATCCTGTTTTCCCCCGTTCCTGATCCCATTCTTATCCCATTTTTCCCCCGTTCCTGATCCCATTTTTATCCCATTTTTATCCTGTTCCTGATTCCATTTTTATCCCATTCCTGATCTCATTTTCCCCTGTTCCTGATCCCATTTTTATCCCATTTTTGTCCCGTTCCTGATCCTGTTTCTATCCCATTTTTACCCCGTTCCTGATCCCATTTTTATCCCGTTTTTACCCTGTTCCTGATCCTGTTTTTACCCCATTCCTGATCCCGTTTCTATCCCATTCCTGATCCTGTTTTTATCCCGTTTTTACCTGGTTCCTCAACCACGTTTTCCCCCCATTCCTGGTCCCATTTTTGTCCGATTTTTACCCCGTTTTTCCCCCATTCCTGATCCCGTTTTCCCCCCATTCCTGATCCTGTTTCCCCCCATTCCTGATCCCGTTTCCCCCCATTCCTGATCCCCTTTTCCCCCTGTTCCTGATCCCGTTCCTGATCCTGTTTTTCTCCCGTTTTTCTCCTGTTTTTACCCCGTTTCCCCCCCGTTCCTGATCCCGTTTCTGACCCCATTTTTTTCCCATTCCTGATCCTGTTTTTTTCCCGTTTTTCCCCCGTTCCTGATCCCGTTTTTCCCCCATTCCTGATCCCCTTTCCCCCCATTCCTGATCCCGTTTCCCCCCATTCCTGATCCCCTTTTCCCCCATTCCTGATCCCCTTTTCCCCCATTCCTGATCCCCTTTTCCCCCATTCCTGATCCCCTTTTCCCCCCGTTCCTGATCCCGTTCCTGATCCCGTTCCATCCCGTTTTTCTCCCGTTTCCCGCGCAGAGACGCCCCTGAGCCTGGCCCAGCTGTGCCGGGTGACGGTGCGGAGAGCGGCCGGGCGCCGGGGGCTGCACGAGATCTCCAAGCTGCAGATTCCCCCCAGGCTCATCCAGTACCTCTCCTACAACTGACAGAGCCAGGAAAAGCCTGCAATTCCCGGGAAAAGCCTGCAATTCCCGGGAAAAGCCTGCAATTCCCAGGAAAAACCCCACAGCATCGGAGGAGTTCTCCTTCTCTTCTACCTCCCCCCCCCAAAAAACCCCATTTTAATTTAATTTCAGGCGCTGCTGTAAATAGGATTTGTCAGGAATTCCTCTTTTCTGTGAGTTTTCTTGGAATTTCCCAGGTGGAATTTTAGCCTCTCCCAGGTGGGAGTCCCTGATTTTCCTGGATTTCCTCTTTGGGATCCAGCCAGCGGGGAGAGAAATGGGATAACTGTGGAGTGGGAATCATTCCAGCTGGGAATTCCATGCTCTGGAGCAGCTCTGGTCCCATTTTAATCCCATTTTTATCCCGTTTTTCCCATTTTTACCCCGTTGTCCCCTGCATGGACCCCTCTGATCCCATTTCTGATCCCAATTTTCCCATTTTTATCCTGTTTTTCCCTGCAGGGATCATCCATCCCCTTTTGGATGATCCAGCCTGGAATGACCCAGGACCCCTTTCCCTGCTGGCTGCAGAGCAACTGGGAGGGGAAATCCTTGGATTTCCAAATCCTTGGATTTGATGGGATCCCACCCTTGGGAATAACTCCAGTGACAGCTGCGAGCCCTGCTGGGGGCAAATTAATTCCCTGTTCATTCATTCATTCATTCCCTAAATTAACGATTCCCTAAATTAACAATCCCCTAAATGAATTCCCTAAATGAATTCCCTAAATTAATCAGCTCAGGGCTAATTAGAGGCACTGCAGCTCGTTCATTTAGGGAATTTTTAGGGTTTTCCAGGAGCATCCAGAGGCTTTGGGTCAACACCAGGAATGAGGAGAGGCCAGGCTGGGATTGGCTGTGTCCCATTCCCAATCCCATTCCCACTCCCAATCTCATTCCCATTACCAATCCCACTCCCATTCCCACTCCCATTCCCAATCCCACTCCCAATCCCATTCCCACTCCCACTCCCAATCCCACTCCCAATCCCATTCCCACTCCCATTCCCAATCCCATTCCCACTCCCATTCCCAATCCCACTCCCAATCCCATTCCCACTCCCACTCCCAAACCCACTCCCAATCCCATTCCCACTCCCATTCCCAATCCCATTCCCACTCCCATTCCCACTCCCACTCCCATTCCCATCCCCTGATCCCAGATTTGTTTCCCCCTCCCTTGGGATCCCGTGGGATACAACAGGACTGGGTTCTGCTTGGAAGTTTGGGAATTTTGGGATTGATTTTCCCCCTTTGGAGCTCTTTTCCCAATGCCAGGTTGGGATTCCAGGCCTGAATCCCAGCTGGAATTCCTGGAATTCCTTGGGTACCTGGGGCTTTGTCCTTGGATGTTGAGCTGGGATTCTCCTCCCCCTTCCAGGTTTCCCATTTTTCCCAATAATCCTGGAAAATCCCAGAGCTTCCCCACCAGAACAAACTCCTCCAGGAATCCTGGAATCCGCTCCGGATCCAGGCTGGGAATGCTGAGCTGGAGCTGAATGCACTTTATGGGTTTTATTTCTCATTTTCATTTTATTTATTCCTCCCTTCCCCTTTTTATCCTGGAAATCCCAAACCCTGCTGTTCTCATCCCCAGTTTTGGGCTGGGATTCCCAGAAATGTGGAATTGGACAAGCTCAGGGGAGCCCCAGAGGGGTTTTTTTTGTGGGATTCATCCCTGGGAACGGCAGGAAAAAGGTTTTGTGGGACAATTTTAGGGATCCCAAATCCCTTTTGAAGATCCCACATCCCTTTTTAGGGTTCCCACATCCCTTTTTAGCATTCCCAAATCCCTTTTTAGGATCCCTAAATCCCTTTTTAGCATTCCCAAATCCCTTTTTAGGGATCTCAAATCCCTTTTTAGGGTTCCCAAATCCCTTTTTAGCATTCCCAAATCCCTTTTTAGGATCCCTAAATCCCTTTTTAGCATTGCCAAATCCCTTTTTAGGGTTCCCAAATCCCTTTTTAGGATCCCTAAATTCCTTTTTAGGGTTCCCAAATCCCTTTTTAGGATCCCTAATTCCTTTTTAGGGTTCCCAATTCCCTTTTTAGGGTTCCCAAATCCCTTTTTAGGATCCCTTAATTCCTTTTTAGGGTTCCCAATTCCCTTTTTAGGAATCCCAAATCCCTTTTTAGGGTTCCCAAATCCCTTTTTAGGTGTTTTTCCCACCCTGCCTTCGCTGGTACAATAATGGAATTACCAAATCCAAGTTTCCCTTGGAAAATCAAAAAGATTCCTTGGGGAACCAAGAAGAAATTCCCCAATCCCGTGGATTCCATCTTCATTTCCCCCTGGTTTTGGAGCCTTTTTGGGGGATCCCAAAGTTTTCTGGGGGTTTTTGTTTCAAATCCATTGGAGGAATTCCTGCTGCTGGGATTTAGGAGAGCTTCAGGCACCATCCTGCAATTCCAGCTTGGAAAACTGGGAATGACATTTGGGCTGTGGCCACTCCTTATCCATGAATTGCTGGGGAAAAATCCCATTTATTCCATTATTTATCCCATTAATTCCATTTTCCCCATTTGTCCCATTTATTCCAATTCCCAGCTGGAATTTTGGGGGATTTTCCCTGGATTTTTAGGAGCACCTGGATCTCCTCTGGATCAAAACCTCAGAGAATCCAAGGATCCCTCTTGGATCACAGGGGGGTATTTCCTGGGGTTTTGTAGGATTTTGGGATTTCTGGGAATGCCAGAAGCAGCTGAATCCCTGGAATAATGGGAATAAACTCCTGGATTGGGCCTCGTTGATTTTTGGGTCACTCTGGGACGATCCCTTCACCCTTTATTCCCAAATCCAGGCCTGGATCCATCCCAAATTCCACCAGGCCATTCCTGCTTTATCCTCCCCTTCTGAGGCTTCCCAAATTCCAAACCCAGCTGAAAATTTTGGGATAATTCCTCTTCCCTGGGGGTTTCCTGTGGATCCAGCAGGGCAGGGAATGATCCAAAATAATCCCACCCAGTTCCAGCTGGGAACAGGGATTTGCTTCATCCGTGGGAATCTTTGGGATTTCTCCTGGCTGGAATTTGGACTGGAGAAGGGGAGCTGGATCCTGGCAGCTTTTCCCAAAAATTGAAGTTTATCCTGGGAAAACAAGGTGGGATTGAAGCCTTGGGAGGCTGGAAAATTTCACTCCTGGATCCCCTGGTGAGGGAAATCCCTGCGGGGTTTGTGCTGCAGCTTCCCAAATCCCTGGGAAAACTGGGAAAGGGACAACTCCCACCAAAACCAGGGCTGGGACTCCTGATTTTACCTTTAGGGGTCTTGGAGTGAGGGGAAAAAATTCCCAGGAGTTTTCCTGAGCTCTGCATCCCTCAGATTCTCTGGGATGGAGCAGGAGCAAAGCTGGAATTCTGTCCCACCTCTGGCTTTGGGAATAAATCCACCCAAAATCTGGAGGATTTCCCTGGGTTTTTCCACACCCTCTTCACCCTTCCCTCCTTTTCCCAGGAAAATCCAGGGTGATGCTGCAGATCTTTTTGGTGCCAGTCCCAAATTTTTGGGTGGATTTGGGGAGTCTGGAGGAAAATCCCAAAATCGACATTTTCCAACTCCAGCCCAGCCCTCAAACCCACAGCAAAGCCCGGGAGGGATCAAGCCCACGGATTTCTTGGGATTTCTGGAAAACTGGATGAACCCTTTGGCTGTTCCCACCTCTCCTGCACGTCACAAAATCCTTGGATCCTAAAAAAAAAAAAACCCCGAAATTCCCTCACTTTGAGATGGATCCTGAGCTTTTGGTGATGCCCTAAATCCGAGATCCCAGATTTTCCCTGGATTCAGGCACTCAGGGAATGCTGGGAAGGGGAAGAACTCTTCAGAGCTGGGAATTTGGGCACCTGGAATTGATTCCTGATTAAAGCTCGGGAAGGGTTGAGGTTATTCCTGATTAAAATTCACTCTGGAAAAGTCTCACCTGTGTCTGGCTGTTGTGGGATCTGCCCTGGAATTCTCTTCCTTCAGCAGCCTCATCCCAAATTCCAGGGCTGCGAGAGCTGGGAATGTTCCCCTGGAGAAGGGAAGGACCCAGGGAGATCTTCCAGCGGCATCCCTGCAGTGTCCAGAGCCAGGCTGGAGCAGCCTGGGATGGTGGATTTGTCCCTGCCCTTGGAATGGGGTTGGAATTGGGTGATCCTGAAGGTCCCTTCCCAGCCAAACCATTCCATGATTCCATAAAAAAAAACCCCTCAATGTTCATCCCCTTCCCAAAACCTTTCATTCCCCGTTTCCCAGGGAAAACCTGTGAAGAAAAGCTGGGACTGGGGAAACTTCCCAGAGAAATCCTGAGCTCTGGAAGGAATCAGAGACTGGAAACATCCCAAAGAAACTGCGAGGGAAACAATGCTTGGGAAAAACGGGATAATCCCTTTTTTTTCCCCTAAGGAATGCTCTCCAGCCGATTTCCTCACCGAGCCCTTATCCCGGAGCCGAGATGGGGAAGTGAATTTTGGAGGAGGAATTTTTGGGAGGAATTGTGGGTCCGATTCCCACAATTCCCACCAAAAAACCCCTTGGCAAATGGGCAGGATTGGGACTCCGGAGCCTCTTCCCGGCGCGGCGCCGCTTGGCGGAGCTGCTCCCCCCAGGAAAAGCTGCCGGGGCTGGAATTCCCAACCAGCAGCGTCCGCAGCAGCCCCGCTCATCCCAAATCCTGCCAAAAACCGGGAAGTTCTGCTCCCTCACACAAACCCGAGCGGTTTCCCGTGGGTGGGAGGAGAAGGAATCGCCAATCCCAAATTCCCTTTGATCCCAGCAAAGCCCAAGCCGCAACCCCGCTAATCCTGGATTTGGGAGTTCGGGGTTTTTTTTGTTTTGTTTGTTTTTTTGGGGGAACAACAAATCGCCTCCAGAAGGTTCAATTCCCACCTCCACATTCCAATTGTCCCGGTCTCAAAAAGACCTGGAATTCTGTAATAAAATTCCCTCCGGTCTCGGCTCAGGGCAGGCGCATTTTGAAGGAGAAAAGCAGGAATTGCGGGAAAGACTCGGATAGGGAGGGAAGGGGGAGCACGGGGGAGATTGTGCCTCCATGGATGGGCTGGAAATCGGGAAAAGCGGGGAAAATTGTTATTCCTTCTTTTCAGCTTTGCTTGGGCTCTTTTATTTTTTGGGATTTCTCCTTCCCAGAGCTGATTTGGGAGTAGTTTGGGAATTCCAGGTGGGTTTTCAACGGAGGAAAAAGTGGAACTGGGAAAGGGGGGTGTGGGAATTTTAATTGTTTATCCCTGGGGGTGTTTTCTGGAGCAGAACCCCATCCTCCTGCTTATCCCGGAGGGAAAAAAAAACCGGGAAAAGATTCCCAAAACCCCGTGGTGCCGCGGGGCCGGCGGCGCTCGGGGCTGAGCTCATGTTCCCATTTATTCCCGGCCGTGAAAATTCCCGACAGCTCCAGCGGGGCTGGGAACCCGAGCTGCACTTAACCCCTGCACGGATTCCCGGCTTTCCGAGGAATTTCGGGCTGGAGAGGGTTTTGGTTGGAGTTCGCCCGATGGAATCTGCGGGATTTGGGATCTTTCCCGATGTTCCCAAAGCCCTCCAGGCGCCCCCAAATTCCTTTTCCACATTAATTCCCTCCCGGCCGGCCGGGCTGGAGCTGCCTCTGCCCATCTTGGGCTGCTGGAATTCCCTGCTAGGAATTTTGGATTTCACGCTCCAAAATCCCTCGGGATTGATCCCCCGGGGAATATTTTGGGAATTGGAGTTGGGAAAGCCCGAAGGGGAGAGGAGCCCTGTGGAGGCAGCTGGAGGAGCCCCAGGGCCTCGGCAGAATCCCTTGGGATTTACCTTGGGAATGGGATGGAGGGGCTGGGGAGGGATTGTCTCATCCCAAACCTTCCCCTTGTCCCGCGGTCCCACATGTTCCTCTTGCTCCCACTTTTCCTTGTCCCCAGGTCCCTTTTCCTTGTCCCACTTCTCTCCTGCTCCCACTTATCCCAAACCCAAAGGCTGGTCCTCATCCCTGGTCCCACGTGTTCCTCTTGTTCCCACTGTTCCTTGTTGCACTGGTGCCTTCTGATCCTGCTTTTCTCCATCTCTTGCTCCCAACTTTTCCCTGCCCCCTGGTCCCACTCGTCCCTTCTCCTTGTCCCACTTCTCTCCTGCTCCCAAATCCCAAGACTTGCCCTCCTCTCCTTGTCCCCTGGTCCCTTCTCCTGGTGCCACTTGTCCCCATCTCCTGTTTTCTTCAGGTCCCCTCTTTTTGTCCCCTTTTCCTCCTGTTCCCCTTTATCCCCAAAGTCTCATCCTTGTCCCCACTCCTGATCCCAAATGTCCGTGTCCCTTTGTTCCTGATCCCTCATGTCCTTGTCCCACTGGTCCTTTCTCCTGATCCAGCTTTTCTGCATCTCTTGTTCCCAACTTTTCCTTGCCCCTGGTCCCTTCTCCTGGTGCCACTTGTCCCCATCTCCTGTTTTCTTCAGGTCCCCTTTTCTTGTCCCCCTTTTCTCCTGTTCCCATTTATCCCCAGCCCAAAGTCTCATCCTTGTCCCCTTGTCCCTTTTCCTGATCCAGCTTTTCTCCACCTCTTGCTCCCACTTTTCCTTGTCCCCATCATTTTTTTCATCTCTCCCACAGATGGGATTTTCTCCTTTCACAAATTACCCAAAAGTGGAAAACCAGGGAGAAAAATCCCTTTAAAACAGGTTAAACAAGCACCCCTGGGAAAGGGAACATTCCTTTTTTCCATGTTTTGGTGGCATTTTCCCTCTCCCAGTTCTTCCTGTCCCCAATTCCTGGTCCCTCCTGTCCCTTCCCTTGTCCCCAGCTCTGCTCTCCTTTATTTCCCTCTCCTCATTCCATTTGTCCCCTCTCCTTCTCCCCATTCCCATCTCCCTGTCCTGCTTGTCCCCTCTCCTCATCCCCAGAATTCCATGAGGGATTAATGCCAAAAAACCAAATTTGGAGATAAACCTAACCCCTGCAGCCCCAAAATCAGGGATTTTCCCCCAAAGCTTTTCCCCATCTGGAACAACCTCAGCCTCAGTGCTGGAGTTGGCACCAAATTTTTCTGTTCTCCATCGTTTTGGCCATCCCATGCTTCCCACATTTCCCTGTGCCTGATTTTGGGATGATTTGTGTGGTTTTTTCATTTCTCCAGCAGACGGGATTTTCTCCTTCCACAAACAACCTGAAAGTGGAAAACCAGGGAGAAAAATCCCTTTAAAACAGCTTACAAAAACACCCCAGGGAAATGGAACCATTTCTTTTTTTTTTTTCCAAAGCAAACACTGGAAAAAAACCCGAGTTTATAAATGGATTTTTGGGCTTTGTTTTTATCCCCCCCGTGCAGAACCTGCCTTGATTTCCCATCCCCAGCCCCTCACCCCACCAAACCTGGAGCAATCCCCCTTCCCGAGCCGTTTTTCCAGACTTTTTTCTGGCAGCTGGACGTGGAGGGGCCTCCTCTTCCCGTAGACATTTCCCAGGCACCACGTCATGTTTGCTCAGGGGGGAGGGGGCAGGGAGCCACGGATCCAGAGGGCTTGGAAAGGGGAAAAATGGGGAAAAATGGGGGAAAAAAAATTCCTGCTTTTGCTTTGGGAAAACCTTGGGAGGTCTCGGTGTTGTTTTCCCAAATTTAATTAATGGGTTTTTAAAGCCTCGTTGTTGAAACGGGATGGAAACATCTCGGGTTGCTAAAATTAAAGGGAATGGGGAGAATTTGGGATTGATTCTACAGGATTGGAGCAAACATCTCCGGTCCTTTAGGATGGGGGATGCTGGGGGGGTGCCTGAGCTGCTTTTTTTTTCCTTAAAAATCCCATTTTAGGGGGAAAACGGTGTCCAGGTGAGCAGGGGAAAGGGAGCAATGGGGGCAGAGTTGGATCCCTGGTTTTGGGTGGTGCTGGAGCCCTTGGTGGGTTTTTTGTTGGAAAATACCTGGAAAAGTGGTGGGAGATTGTCCGTGGTGGAGGTGGGAGCAGGAGATTTGGATCCAGGAGATTTCCCCTCCAGGCAGATCCCAAGGGATCCCCCCAGTCACATCCCTTCCAGGTGATCCCCATGTCCCACCCTAAATCCACCCCAGGTCCCATCCCAGGGGTTCCTCATGGTCCATTCCAAGGATCCCTCATCTGCCATTCCATGTGCTCCCATCCCAGATCCCATCCCAGGTTATCCCTACTCCAGATCCCACACTGGATGATCCCACGTGACCCCTATCCCAACTCCCACACCAGCTGATCCTGCAGGATCCATTCCAGGTGATTCCCTATCCCAGATTCTGCACCAGATGATCCACCAGATCCCATCCCAGGTTATTCCTACCCCAGGTCCTGGCTTAGATGATCTCCCAGGACCCATCCCAGGTGATTCCTGGGATGATCCCACAGGACCCATCCCAGATGACCCCTGTCCCAAATCCCACACTAGATGATCCTTCAGATCCAGTCCCAGGTGATTCCTCTCCCAGATTGTTCCCAGTTCCCATCCCAGGTGATCCCTGTCCCAGATTCCACACCAGATGATCCCACAGGACCCATCCCAGGTGATTCCCTATCCCAAATCCCACAGCAGATGATCTTCCAGGATCCATTCCAGGTGATCCCTATCCCAAATCCCACACTGGATGAACCTCCAGCTCCCATCCCAGGTGATCCCTATTCCACAATCCATCCTTCAACCCCCATGCCCAGGGGCAGGGAACATCCTGACCAAGCTTTAGGGTGGAAAATTGGGATGTGCAGGGATCAGGGAGAGATCAGGGATCCCCCAAACTTCCCAGGCTCCAAGTGCATCCCCTGGACCTCGATTAATTTAATTATTAACCAACACCAAGACAGAATTCCACTGGTCATGGATCTGCTGGGCCGGATCCTGCAATTCCATCAACTCCTTCTCCTCCAGAGGGACACTTTGGGGAGGAAAACCTGGATTTGGGAAGAAAAATCACCTCCTTTTCCTGCTGAAAAAAATCGGGATCATCCTGTCCATCCATGTGTCCATCCCAAGGGATGCTGGTGGGAATCTTCCCACAGCTCTCCTGAGCACCAAATTGGGGGAAAAATGGGAAAACATGGATGAACTTCCTCCATTGCTGATGGAGCTGCTGGGCCGGGATCCAGGCTCCCGTTCAGGATCATCGTTAGGAAAACCATCCCGGGATAAGCGGAGTGGAAAAACGTTCCGGAAATTAAACAACCCGAAAATAGAAGGAGAAAAAAGGTCAGGCCTAAAAATACCGGGATCGGTTTGGAGTTGGATCCTGGCACAAAATAAATAATCCAGGTTTATGGGGAGGACTAATTTTAGCCATTCATTACAGCAGCCTGGCGTGACCCTGGAATTTTTTTTTGGGCTGGATTTTTCTGGATTTAGGGATTTTGGGGCTGGACTTTGCCCCGCTCCCATCCTGGGAGGGTGAGGGAGAAGGTGCTGGGAGCGAGTGTGGGCGTGCTGGGCTCTGCCAGGACCCGCCCGGTTTTCCCGGGAAAACAACTGGGATTGCCAAAGTTCCCAGCCCCGGGGATGGGCCGGAGCTGGGGCTGAAGCCGTGGTGGATCCGAAGTTCCCCACGGAGCAGCTCGGCCCCGTTTGCTCGTTAGCAATGGAGCATTAATTAGAGCCATTAAAATGAATTTTCTTTCCAATTCCTCTGTGGAGGGAATGATCCCATCCCAGGATTCCTCCTGATTGTGGGGAAACTGAGTCAGGGTGAGTTTGGGAAAGGTGAATCCTGCTCTGCTCAGTTTTGGGAGGGGGATTAGGGATAAATCCAGTTTTTCCTGGGTTGGAAGAGGGAAAAGGACTCTTGAGATCCTGGGGCTGGAGACAGATCCCAAAAGTGATGAGATTTGGGATGGGGATGGTCACATCCTGGTCTCCATCATCTTTCCAGTTTTTTGGGAAGAGGGATGGAATGGGAAGAGGATGGAGATGAGGAGGGATTTGAACCTGACCAGGACGATTTGAGGGAATATTTTTCAGCAAGGATCCCAAGAAGAAGCTGAATGAAGCAGCCACCAGGATGTGGGGGGACGTTTTTATTGGGATGTCAGGGAATTTTCAGTGGCCTCTGGAATATCTACAGACACAAGACATCCCATGGGGACCCCAAATCCATCTGCATCCCACATCTGATGCAGACGCCGGTTGGTGACGCTCCAACTGGGATAAAAGAGGATTTTTCCAGCCTGGAGAAGGTGGGAGGGGATGGAGGGGCTGGGGGAGAACCACCACAACCTCTGTTCCCTATGGGGGGGAAAAAAAAAGAAGGAAAAATTAAAAAAAAAAAATAAAAGCACCACAAAAATCAATTTTTCCAACCACCAACACGAGGAGGGAGAGCCAGGATTTGGGGATTTTCCACGGATGCTACATCCCAGGGAGTTACCTGCGGAACGGAGCTGGAGGTGGCCGACGGGGGCCGTCACTTCTCCGTCATCATCCTCACGAACTCCTCGTAGTTGACCTGCCCGTCGTTGTTGCAGTCGGCCTCCTTGATCATCTCGTCCACCTCCTCGTCCGTCAGCTTCTCGCCCAGGTTGGTCATGACGTGCCGCAGCTCCGCCGCGCTGATGTAGCCGTTCCCATCCTTATCGAAAACCCGGAAAGCCTCCCGGATCTCCTCCTCGCTGTCCGTGTCCCTCATCTTCCTGGCCATCAGCGACAGGAACTCCGGGAAGTCGATGGTGCCGCTGCCGTCGGCGTCCACCTCGCCCACCATGTCCTGCAGCTCGGCCTCGGTGGGGTTCTGGCCCAGCGAGCGCATGACGGTGCCCAGCTCCTTGGTGGTGATGCAGCCGTCGCCGTCGCGGTCGAAGAGGGAGAAAGCTTCCTTGAATTCCGCGATTTTCTCCTCCGACAGCCGCTCGGCCATGGTGCTTCCCGCCGGCACGCGGCTCTGTCCCGGCACGCCGCAGCGAGGCGCGGAGGAGGAGACGGAGCCTCCTCCCTCCCGGCGCCTCTCCCTGCATCAGCAGCAGCAGGAGGAGGAGGAGGCAGGAATGGGAATGGATCCAGAAGGTTTGGGAGCTGGGGAAGAAGAGTGACCCAACCCCCTCGGGCCACCCTGGCTCTCGTCCCGCTGCTCCCACGGTGGCATTTCATGGGGCAGACCCCAACAGAGCCCTCATTAGGGATTGGGCTGTGGCTCCGTGGTTTTGGGGGGAGGTGGCAGTGGGGGTGACACACGTGATTTTCCCAGTTTTAGCGATATTTTGGAGAGGATTTGAGCTGTACAAAGGAGTTGGAGGGGTCCCCCCCCAGTCTCCCCAGCCCCAGGCGGTGCTGGCAGCACATCAAAGGCGCTGAGGGAGGATCCCCCGTGCAGGTCCCGGCAGATCCCGGCTGTCCGGAGCTGCCGCTCCTGCTCGGAGCTGCTGGGGCCTTGAGTCACCTCCGGGGCCTCCTCCAGGGCTGGATCCAGGGTGGTGACGTGGGGCTGGACCAGGGGAGGGGTGTGGGGTCCTGCCCTGTTACTCAGGGGTGAGCTGAGGGATCTCCCCATTGTAAGGCTGGGTTTACTCATCTCTTACTCAGGGTGTAAAGGAGGGGATAGTGACAAACGAGGGAGTGTTTCTCCATCCATCCATGGAACCCATCCATCCATGGAACCCATCCATCCATGGATTCCATCCATCCATCCATCCATGGAACCCATCCATCCATCCATCCATCCCTCTTTCCTCTGTGCCCACAACACTCCAGTGACCTTCACCAGCCGGATCAAGGAGCTGCTGGACCCAGCAGTTCCACAGCAGAAGATAATTGGACTTTCTCAGCTACAGGAAATCGGCACCAGTTGATCCCAGTTTAACCCAGTGAGGAATTCCGAGCTGTGGGATTTGGAGGGAAGGGCACAAACCAAAACCCAGCCCACGGGACAACTGAGGGACCCCTGAGGAATGGTGGGATAAATCTGGGAAGGGATCGATCTCCTGGGGAAAACCTCACATGGAAAAAGCTCTGGGTGCGTGGAACACTGCAATTCCTGGGCGGAATTGTGGGAGCCATGCTGGGAACCTGTCTGGTGAGAGGTTTCGGGGAGGGGCGGCCCTGGCAGCTCCTCCTGTGCAAGAGCTGCTCCCTAATTATCGTCTGATTGCCCACACTCGCTGCTCTGCTCCAGATTTAACCCAACCCAAACTGGCGGGAAGAGCCCAGGGGAGGTGGAGCTGGCTCGGATCCGCCCGGGAGAAGCAAATCCCGACAGATCACTGGGGTCTGGAGGCCTGGGAGGGTTCAGGTGTTGGTTCAAACTGTGGGAGAGGGGCTGGAGCTCACATGGAGGGGATTTGGGGTCCCTGTGTCACCTGGCTGAGGGTGGAGGGGTTGTGCTGTCTGGGGTGCCCTTGGTGCGGATCAAAGCTGGAATCTGCTGCTTCCTTCCCATGAAATCCCCATGACTGGCAGGCATCCCATTGCTGGCATCCATCATCTTCCATCCCATAGATCCCATCCCAACGACCAGCACCCATTGCTGGCATCCATCATCTCCCATCCCATCCCCATGACCAACACCCACCACTTCTCATCCCATTCAATCCCATTCCCATGACCAGCTCCTATCACCTCCCATTCCATTCCATTCCATTCCATTCCATTCCATTCCATTCCATTCCATTCCATTCCATTCCTCTGACCAACACCCATTCCCAACAGGCACCATCTCCCATCCCATCCCATCAACCAGCACCCACTGCCAACACCTATCATCACCCACCTCCATTCGTGGATCCCATCCCATGGATCCCATGCCATCCCATCCCCATGACCAGCACCCATCATGTCCCCATGACCTTTCATCCCATCCCATCTCATGCCATTCCATTCCATTTCCATCACCCATCCCATCCCATGGATCCCATGACCATCCCCCTGACCAGCACCCATCATGTGCCCATCACCTCTCCATGACCAACCCCCATTGTGTCTCATCCCATTCCATTCCCATGGCCAGCACCCATCACCTCTCATCCCATCCCATTCCTTTACATCCCTGTGACCAGCACCCACTGCCAGCACTCACCATCTCCCATCCATCCCATCCCATGGATCCCATCCTTACATCAGTTTTCAGGAGAAGGTCAAAGCCAGCCCTTGATTTTGTCTGTGCTTAACTGCGCCTCATTTATCAGGATAATTATCCCAATAAAACTTCCTGCTGACCCATAAAATCCCATGATTTATGGCTTAATTACAGCATCCGGGGTGGGCTGTGGGGTAGGACAGGGAAGGGGAGACCACCATGGTGGGATCGGGAGCACGCAGCCGCCGCTGCCGGGTTTTTGGCAGCTGAATTTCCCGGGATGTCTCCACCTGGAGCTGGAAAAGTTGGTGCTTTGATGAAGGAGGGCCCTGTTAAAGCCTCACACGGAGTTTTCCAGGCTCGGTGTCTGGCTTTGAGGGGCCTAATCCAGGGAATGGGGGGGAAAATTCCCCCAATCCAGAAGGTGAAAAGCTTCCAGCTGGATTCTCCCGAGGCGGCTCGGCTGCCAGCGCCAGCCCAGATGTGCACAGATGTGTCTGGGTTTGCAGCTGCAGACACGGCGGGAGGTGGGAGGGGGATGAATTCATGGAAAAAGAGAAAGTTGGGAGGCGGAGAGGGAAACAGCTCCGACAGGGAAAGCTCTGTGGGGCCCTCCTGTCCCTGCACGAGCCCAGACTGATCCCAGGAGCGGCTGTGGGGATGGGGAGGAAACTCCACAAATCCCGGCAAAAGCTACACCCAGGTTGAGTGTGGAAAATGGGATTTTGGAGAGGGTGGGCTCGGGGTTGATCCCAGAATGGCTGTGAGGGTCTCGGGGCTGTTGAAGTAAAATTTGGGATTTGGTGGTTTGTGGTTTTAGACTTTGCTTCCACGGAGATTCCCAAATCCAAGAGCAAACTGAAGGGCAGCTCCTAAAGGGAGCGAAGGGACCCTGGTCCCTGATGTCCCCATGGAGAAGAGGCTGGGATTGGGATGTGGGAATTCTCAGAGAGGACTCTGCCCCACAGTGACCCCGGCTCCGGGAAGGTCCCACCTGGAAACCCTGGAGGCGTCGGCTGCGCTCCGGAGCTGGGCGGATCCCGAGGGCAAACACGGATCCGGGAGCTGCTTACCCAGGGCGGAGGTGCCACATCCATGGGCACGGACACGTCCCAGTCCCTTCCTGGCACAGGGATGTCACCACAGATTCCCCTCTGCCCTTGGGAATTTTATCCTGCTGTATGCCGGGGTTCCACACCCATGGGATGGGGGGGTCTTGGCTCAGCAGACGCACGGAGAGAGCCGGGATCCCATGGAATTCCATGGAATCCAGGGGAGCAGGGCTTGTTTAGTCTAGAGAAGGGAGGGCTGAGACGGCTGCACATTCCTGCAGGAGGGACGGGGCAGGGAGAGGAACCAGCAGGAGTTGTGGGGAATTATTTAAAGGGAATTACTTCCAAAGGGAATTAAGGATTTTTGGCTGATTTGCTGTCAGCTTCAGGATGAGGAGACACAGATTCAGCCCAGCAGACAATCCATGGGATTTCCTCTCCCTGTGCTACAGCAGCTCACTGATGCTTTTTTGCAGGAGGAGCAGTTTTTCCAGTTTCTCCCTGCTCGGGAAGGGCTGAATTCCCTCTGGATCAAATCAGCTTCAGAGGTCAGGGCTCAGCTGTAAATCCTGTCCCTAAAACCGAGCTGCTCTTTCCCTGCCAGGGGAGTGGGGCCAGCCTGGAGCCAGGATTGCTCGCCCTGGGAGAGATCCTGGCATCCATCATCTCCCATGCCATGGATCCCATCTGTAAATGTGTAAATCCTGTCCCTAAAACTGAGCTGCTCCTTCCCTGCCAGGGGAGCGGGGCCAGCCTGGAGCTGGGATTGCTCTGCTGGAGCTGCAGTCGAGCCCAGACACCCCATACAAGGTCAGGCTGGAGGTTTTTGGGAAAACTGGATGGCTTTATCCTGGTACAACAACTCCCTGGAAGCTTCCTTGGGATCAGCCTAGCAGGATCCCCTTCCCAAGGATTTAACATTGACTAAATGAGGACTCTCCCGCTGATGGGGGTGGATCTTCTCCGTGGGCGAGGAGAATCCCAGTGTTCCCTTTCCCTGACAAACTGAGCAGTCCATCAACTCAGCTGCTGTGCTCGTGTCCTGCCTGGACACAGCAGGAACAGGACACGGAGCTGGAAAATGCCAGCTTGTCTTGCCTGGACATGGAAGAATCATGGCAGGAGGACAGGGGTTCCTCCTGGAGCCTCAGCTTGGAGAGATCCATCTGAGAGAGCCAGCTGGACACATCCCTCCCTCCCAGGCAGGACTCGGATGAGGCAGGAGAGGCCGTCAGGAATTTAATGGAACTTGGCACTGGAAACTGTACAACATTTACAGAGAACCACACGCTGTGTCTATGTACACCCGCTGCCCATTCCCAAAGTTCCCGGCCGGACACGGGACAGGCAATGACAATCCTTGGATGTGGAGTTACCAACAAGCTCCCCAAGCCTGGATTTCAGGATATGGCTCCCCAAGCCTGGATTCCAGGGTCACAGGGATTGCAGGATCTCACTCCTCAAGCCTGGCTTTCAGGATGTTTCTCCCCAGTCCTGGATTTCAGGTGACAGGGATTGCAGGACCCCACTCCTCTATCCTGGATTTCAGGTGACAGGGATTGCAGGACCCCACTCCCCCATCCTGGATTTCAGGTAACAGGGAGTGCAGGATCCCACTCCTCTATCCTGCATTTCAGGTGACAGGGATTGCAGGACCCCACTCCCCCATCCTGCATTTCAGGTAACAGGGAGTGCAGGATCCCACTCCTCTATCCTGGATTTCAGGTGACAGGGATTGCAGGACCCCACTCCCCCATCCTGGATTTCAGGTGACAGGGATTGCAGGATCCCACTCCCCCATCCTGGATTTCAGGGACACCCCGCTGTGCTCAGAGCAGTCACCACTTTGTTTCCCATGATGCTCTGCAGCACCATTCCCAAACCGGGTCTTTCCCTGGATTATCCCTGGATCTTTGGAGTGCTAGAAGATGGCAGTGCTGCCACCCTGAGTATTTACAACCACTCCTTCTCCTCTCCTCACACCTCCAACACTTCCTCTCCTCTACCTTTCTACCACATGCAAGAACCCATTGGTTGCCTCCAAGTCCTGCTTCCCGTTGAGAAGCGTTTCATTTCCAAAAGGCAACAAAAACACGGAATCTACCTTCGCTCCCTGCTACCCCCTCTACTCACTGCTCCCCAAACCCTTTACAACGTGCCTACAACCTTCCTACTCCCTAGAGTAAAGCAGTTCTCTTTCAGTAGTGTCTCCCCCCAGCCCGTGGATTGCTCCGGGGTGATGTGAGGGACAGTTGGGACATCACCCCTCGGAGCACGAAGGATCAAGTACTGGAAAGGAAATGCCAAGTCTGAGCAACAAAAATACAAAAATAAAAAAACCAGGAAAAGGAAACAAAAAAAAAAAAAAAAAACCAAACCACCCCAAAATCCCAACCCCCAAACTCGAAACAAAACTAATAAAAAAATTAAATAGTTGGCAGGATACAAGAGTGAGACAGAG